AGTCTTGTGGACGAAACATGAAGCCAGACTTCTTATGAAAGGTTCAGTTTTTTTGCATTGATGAATTATTCATTAGGACGGAAAGTTAAAATACTTCTACTTCGCTAAATTATTTATTATTTGTGTGCACGGCAATGGCTCTTATGTTGGCCTATGGATGTACAGATTAAATCCATCGATAAAAATCTACCGTTTTTTTTATTTTTCTCAGAACAATGCGTCATCTGGACAATACATATGGCTATTATTAGTTGCTGGTAAAAAATATCCAAAATTCGTTATTTCGGAATGTATGGACCAAATATATGGGCTCCAAACCTATTGAATATTTTCCAACCCTTTTTGAAAATTTTCTGTACATAATTCATAATTGAAATGAGCTTTGGCAAAACGACCTTCGGCGAAATGACGCAGCCCCCTGACTTTAAATAACGATTTTTCCTATTTTATAAAGATTTGCAATAAATTTCAGAACTTTGTAGTTAGACCAAAATGAATTTTACCCAATTTTGAGTGAATAATAATCAATGTACTCATGAATTCATGATCAACTAAGGGCAAGTTCCAAGCGAGCAGCACAGAAACTGAACGAGCGAGTGTAAATTCTACCAAGCCGGAACGGCAGCAGTAAAACGAAACAAGCGAGAAACTGAAAGAATGTGAAAAAACGTTATCGCCGAGTGCAAACACAAACTGATAGAATAAAGACTGAACGATAAAAATCTAAAATCAGCTTGTCAGTCGTTTTTGGCTAATTTGAGTTAATTTTGTCTGCTAAACCATAATAGGTACTTATCTTCAAATACCATTACAACTTTACCATCGTAAAAAATGGGCCGAATGGTCTTATCACATTATGGAATGTTTTCCATAGGTAAATTTTATGATTGTATAAACAAAAATAGAATTAAAAAGTAGAAGGTTCTGTACCTAGGGGCACGAACAGAAGCTTGACGCAGGACCGCTAGTTAACGGAACGAATATGTTGATGATTTAGTTCTTAACTCTTTCCGTTCAGAATTGGTAACCCTGAAAAGGGCCGATTGTTTTTCAAATGGTGGCAACACCAGTGCAAGTCGATGCCGACCGGATGACGGCAGGCTAGTCATGCTTCCTATTGCGGGAAGCCTTTCATCCGGTCGATTTCGGTGCTTCCGTCGCGTTGTCGTCGTCGTCTTCGCATTGCTGCGATGCGTGCTGTTACACTCATAGGTCTTGTCCAACGCTAATCCGTCCGTTGCTCGAAAGCAAATAACGAAGAAAATTATTTTATTATCGCTGCTTTTCGCCTCCCTTCCTTTCATTGGTGAAACGGTGAGCGATCAACCGAGCATTGAGCTCGCCCAATGCCCATGTGAGCATTTGCAATGTGTCGTTTGTTCGATTTGCGCTCTATCGTTGCGTCCGGGTTTGGGATTTTTTGTTAGCTGCCTGAATTTTGATTTTTTTTTTTTTAAATGTGACCCCCAGTACAGAAATTAAAGACGTACGTCAAAAAAAAAAATGAGGTGGTAAATTTTCAAGGAAAATTAATGCTAAGCTTTAAAGCTCATGAACCAAAATTTAAAGAAGCAATGTTTTAAAATAAAGCGATAAGTAAATTATCGCATCTCAATACAAAAAAAAAAGAAAGTTTCCACGAAAATTAACTCGGCGCACAAGGGTAATTCTACGGGCTAAAACGATTAAATTTGTTTGCTGCTGGAACAAATTTTTATGGTCCTGGAACAAGTTTTTAAGAACTATCAGAAATATACGATATATTGTCCGGCATAGTTTTGAAATTGCGAACTCAATAACAATTTAAAAAATTGTGAGACCTAGAATTTGATTGGAATTCGTGTACGACCAAATGGCGTCTGGCCTAGTGGCAGAATGAATTATCACCAAAATAAATAATTTTCCCTCTCTATTTCGAAAACTAGCCATGCTTTTGGCTAAAGGAGCTACTGCAGGGCTGGTAGTGCACATGCGATATAATAGTAGTGACTTTAGTAACTAAACTTACGGAAATGGTGACCAAATAGTGACTTGTAAATACTTAATAAGTAACCATTTATATGGTAAATAAATTTATGCATAGAATAATCTTGGACTTCTCCCCTGCCTTCAATTGGAAATTCAATTCGTATTCTCCTTAGAATTTCCATAGTATTTCCTCAGAATTCTCAAAACAAAAATCCATCACAGGATAGCTTTGAAACTCTTTTCAGAATTCCTTTGAGATTGAACCCTCAAAATTCGATTCCATTGGAATTCTTCTCGGAATTTAGTTTGAACTCTTTAGAATTCTCTTGGAAGTATCTTCAGAAATCACCCCACGGGATTTTGATGGAATTTTCAGCAGAGCTCTTTTAAGCAAAGTTTCAGTACTAATTTTGAATTATTATTAGAAATGGATATAGAAGCTTCATCCAATCATCATAGAATTCTTCTCAGAACCTCGTTAAAATGCACTCTCAATTAAATTGGAACTATTTCCAAAATTGTTCGGAGCTGAATTTTGTATCTCTAATAATTTAAAAAATCTCCAAAGAGGACGCTCGTATCTGTTAACCCAAGTTATATAGTGTAAACCTGGGTTAAGATTTAAGCGGGAATGAAAAATCGGTCTTCAGAGCACTTAATTTTACATGAGACTTTTACAGTCTGTACTTTGGTATTCTTCTCTGATATATCTTGGTGTCATCCCTAGAATCTTTTATATTCTCTTAAAATTTACTTTGGATTTTTTAAAGTTCTTAATCATCCTTGAAAGACTATTGAAAATCTATCACAGACAAATACCTTTGGAAAGTTTCCAAGGTTTACAATTTATTTTCTGGGATTTCCCCGATTTTTAATCGAAATTGAAGGCATTTCCCAATATGTTTCCTGGTATTCTAACATTTTGCGGTTCACTGGTCACCCTGGTTAAAATTTTCAATTTTTTAACGCATATGTATATTTTGTTAAACTATTGTAGACTTTCTTAGTTCCAAGTACTCCATTTAAACATTTTGTTGATATTTTTAAATTTCACTCTATTTTAGTAGTGAAAAAGGTGACTATTTTTAGGGAAATAGTGACTTAAGTGACTTTTAGGTGTAAAAAGTGACTTTTTAGTGACTGGCTTCAAAATAGTGACCAAGGCACTAAAAAGTGACCTACGACCAGCCCTGCTATTATGCAGATCATATTGATTGCCAGTTGAAGTCAGTACGCGAACCACTGTTCACCACTTCAACAAATTCAGCCATTCCATAGTAAAACAATATAGCGGTTCTCAGAATTTCGTAATAATTTGTAGTTTTGTTCCTAATTGCAAAATATTGGACCCGTATTTTTTTATTTTGTCATTAGGGTGACCATTTCCATGATAGGGTGGGCCTAAAAAATCGATTTTATTTTTCAAAAATTACTTTTTTTTTTGATAACTGACTTTTTTCAAAAAAATATAACTTTTGAACCGCTGGACCGATTTCAAATATCAAAATATCAAATGAAAGGTGATCACAAATATTTTTTTTTTTATATATAGGAAAATTGGGATTTTTTATTGTAAAACATTTACTGTATTTGTTTTTTTTTATGGTTTTCATGGTTTGTAGACAGAGGGCGCAATATGTTTTTATATTTTTCTTTGAAAAATTACAACAAATCAGCGATGCGTTTTTTTCCGTTTTTGATTTATAGTTTTTGAAGTTATTAAAGTTGGGATTTTCGCTCAATACTCCTATGCGACTAGACTATAGCTAAATATTGCTTTCCTTAAAAATAATCCAATCCAATATTTGCATTTTCAATTATAATCTCAAAGTGACGTCCCACTTTCCTAATTCCCTCCAGTAGAACAAGAAAAAAAGCATAGAATCAACCGGCAAATCCAAAGTGTTTGTCCAACGATATAGATAGCATTCCACCCAAAGCGCCTAAGCTGCCCGGCATGAATTATTCAGCAGAAGAAAACGAAACCCAATGCAGGAAATCGACCGTCGCGGCTCGTCGCATATGTCAGCCGTTTATTAATTGGCCGTCAATTGCCATCCGTTATCGGACCAAACTGCATTGCAAATCAAGACAGCTTTTCCCGCGTAATTAAATCTCGAGTTTAAAATCTTGCTCTCCCTCGGATTACCGATGCAAACGTTCTGCCCTGGCCAGACAATTACGCTAATCCCTGGTCCGATAAAGCGGGGATTAGCAGCCAAGTGCGTCGGTCCGAAACCTTGGTAATTTGTCTACGTCCGATGCAAATTGATGGACTGGTGCGCACACGCAGCTCATTAGGCTTCGATGTAGGCCAAGCCTCGAAACCAACCAAAAAAAATTCCAATAGCCCGCTTGTAATCAACGAGTGCCCCTTTGTTATTGGGCCCGCAACATAAAATTCCATTAATTTAACACATATTAAATTTCGATCGCCAAAACCCGTACGCATAAATTCGATGTCAGCACATGTTGTCAACCAGGCGGAATTTGGCTAAAATGAAATTAGCGACAACAGCGGCGACGGCCGTTCACCAGCCGAAAGCCGGTTTGGTGGTTCTTCTGAGAAAGGAGTTCGTCTGTCTACTACTATTGCGAACTGCGCCACGTTGGGTCATTCGGGGTTGGAAGGACCATTAAACTTGTACCCTTTTTTTTTGGTAACTACCCATAGCCGATTGTACGGCCAGAGATGCTCTTACGTAAGGGCCGATGATGTTGTGGCAGAGGGCAAGGCGTGATTGGATACATGCAGTCAATTATACAATTAAGGTCACACACTGCTCGACATGGGAAGGAAGATGACAGTAATGAACTGGCTGACTGGGGGGGGGGATCAAGTGGCGGTGACGTGTGGAGGTCCATAGGATCGCTCTTTGTCATCGATTTCGATTTTCTGCATACCTCTTTGCACGCCCCTGTATCCAATCCTTTCGGTTGTTGCGAATTGCGTGCGAAAGAAATTTTCAACGCAATGACGCGTGTGAATAATTATAATAAACGACTTTTTCGCTTCTTCCTTCCCATTTCAGGGTCGCGATGCCACTCCGTACCTGGAACGGAACCGTGTGGGACGTGATGCGATCGATTCGGCCGCTGCCCTCACCGATATGGGCAAGTATCTGTTCCGAGAGCGAAGACTACCGGTGTACGACATTGCCGTTGCCATCACGAAGTAAGTATGAGACCAACCAACGAACCCCAAGCAGACGACGTAGAGCACCAGTAGAGAGGGAGAGAATGCGATGGAGCAGAGATCACCTCCAGGATCCAGTCTCGGTGGGAAGGACTCGTGCGCTCACACGCTCTCACAATATGCACTCAATCTGGAAATCTCTCTAAAGACTGTCTTCTGAAGGACGACGCTATCCGACCCGTGCACAAGTTAGGACCAATCACATACACTCGATCGGACTGAGCACGCGTTCCGGACTGGGGGACCACGGGGTTGGACACCAGTCGGAGTTCAGCCCCAACATCCCACAAATGAACCGTAGCTCTCTGACATTTCTGACAGTTTTGACCGAAACCGAAAAGTTTTAACTTCATCAACTCCATGTATCTACTACTCACGATTAATCTTTTCCCTGATCTTTCGAGCGCAGCTCTTCCCACATCATAATCATCGTCTATCTTGTTTTGACCTTTTCAACGCCCACCCACATCATCCCGAGAGTACCGAATGTTCGGAATTTGTTTGATTAACTTTAATTGAGATCTTTCGCAGGTATGATATGTGCCGAAGAAGAAAAGGCGGTCGTTGTACGAAAGGCACAGCTGGTAATCAAACTTGTTTCATTCTTCTTTTTCCTTTTTCCAACTGCCGTAAACAAAGCAGACATTTCTTATCATTTAAGGCATCCTTCTCTCACTAATTTCGCATCTTAATCGCATTACCTAATTGGTTGAAGTTTTTTTCCCCGCTTGGAAATCAGCATCTATTGTGTGGTAGAAATTTTCGACCAATTTTTTAAATCGCATACTTCCTCCCAAGAATCCAAAAAATGGAAATTTCTACCACGGTAATTGGCCTTGTTCGTTCCCAAATTAATCTCACCAAAACCGAGTCTCATCCAGATAGGGTTATCTAACCTAGTGAGTACGATGTTACGATAACGGCTTACCTGGACAGCTCTACTAACCCAGTCAACGAAACAGAAAAGCGCAACGTCCTGCACACGAATCGTGTGCCGCACAGAGTGATTCCGAGTTGTGATCCCTTCCTTTGATTCCCTGCGCCTGAAACGAAAAACCACATACAAAAGAATCATTAGGACACAACTCCCAACAACTACTACCGAACTACAACAAGACACCCCACCCCCACACCCACAAAAAAAAACACTCTTAATTATATCACAACCCCCCACCGCCCCACACCCGTGTTTTGTTTGTATTAAAAGCTGGAAATTATTACCTATATTTTACAGACTAGATATGTGTAGAAGACAGTATGCAAATGACGCGTGTAATCGCGGTACCGCAGGTAATTATCGGCCATCAAGTCGGCAACAATTTCCTTCTTCTCTGTTTCTCTTGTTCTCTTGTTTTCCTGTTTGTTCAACCACACCACAAACACTTATTCTACATTAGCATTAGCACCAACAACAACTTTTGCAACAACTTCCTCGACTCTTCTGTCAAAGCTCCGCCACTTTAAAAAGCATTCTTGGGAGCAGACAATGCAGACCTGTTCCAATGCAGTCTCTCTCGCTCTGTTTCTGTCCTTTGAATTCTATTCTTCTCATCAGCTGTCCGACACTGACACTACGTCAGGAAACTTCATGTAGCTCTAATATGCAAACTTTGCTGTATAAAACAAACAAGCTTCAATTATCAGCCTTCGTTTTTCTTCTGTAAAAAAAATCTCTTTACTTGAAAACAGTAGCCTCTCTTGAATATTCTGCATTAAATCATCGAGCTCCTTTACATTACACTTTTGCTCCTTTATTTGTCTTTTTCTTACTACATACTTCCAAGTTCTACTTGAATTCTTCAACTAATAGTGTACAATCCAATCAAATCAATCAATCTGCACTCTTTTTATGTTGTGTGTGTTTGTTTTCATGTGTATTTATCCATTCAAAATTGGCGAACAATAATTGTACAAAATTCAACTTCATCATCAAATGTATTTATGCAATGTGTAAATCTGTTATAGTGGGATCTCGTGTGAATACCTTTATATTTCGTATGCACCCCTACCACAACGACTTCGGGTAACGTGAGTACTTGACGATTCATGCACACAAACCTAACACTAACCGTTAATTGGGAACAATGTATCTATAGGGTGTGCCTGGTATTATAAGCACACTTTCAATACGCCGCCATATGTATAACGATGACGTTTATCAGCTGTTCACCGATGAGTGTTTTTGTTTACCGCCATCCGGAAGTTTGATGAAGAGGTTACCTTCCAGGACACACCGAAAAGGTCATCCAAACGACGAGCAAGGGAGCATGCATTAAGTATGTCACGTTTTCCATATATTCATGCTTAATGGATCGTTCCTAACGTACAACATTCCAAGGTCAGACACGGTCTAAAGACGATAAAGAAGCAGAAGAAACCTAAACGGAGTCAGGAACGGGCCGCATCCGTCAAACCCTTGAAAGCTGTATGATAACTTTCTGTGTGGAAAATCGACGAGTGGCCAATGCACACTGGGCCAGGAATGCAATCTAGTGGAGCAAAATTAATAACTCTGAAACGAAGCATTTCCGCGACTTGGTGTCTTCAGCAAAGTTTCTCATCATAATAAGGACCATCTATTGACAAAAACAAATCGTTCAAAACTCTTCCGCAAAGTTGGCGCCACAATCTAACATCTTTTTTGACGTTTTAGGATACTTGATGTCTTGGCAAAGTTATTTACCTTGACAAAATAAACAACTCTTTTTGAAGACGTAAAATTTCCACAGCCTACTGGTTCCGAGTTATATGGAGTTAAAGAAAAAAATGTAGAAAATATGGTTTTTTCTTTCTGTTTCGGGTTTTTTGCTTACAACCATATAATGTTATATTTTTTAAATACAAATGCATTAAATAAATAACTTTTGTGAAGAAACATACTGGTGTAAGCTTCAAATTTAAAAGATATTGTTGAATAAAACGAAAAAAAACGACAATTTTTTAACTCCCAAAGCGCAAAAAATCGCAACCTGACATTTTCAGCAAAAATTACGCATTACTCGATAAACAAAATATCAAAATTTGAGAGTGGTATATTTTGGTGTTTTTGAGATTTCTTCATTTCAGTGGAACATGTTTTTTTAATGCATTGAAATGGCATTTTGAAGACTTGACGACTTTGGCAAAGTTGTTTATCTTGATAAAATAAACAACTCTTCTTAAGACGTCAAAACTCCACAGCCTACTGTTTTCAAGTGACAGGTACTCTATTGTGAAGTCTGTGAAAGGGAAATCACACATCGTGTGTCATCAAAATACGTAGGATGTTGAGAGATTGAGCTCGTGAGAGAGAATTGTTTGAGAGACAAACTCTCTTACTCTCTTGGTAGTGAGTAAAGTGTACACACTAAGATTTTTTTTACAGGAGTCAGTATTTTTTTACTCAGTTTTTGAATTGCTGAAAAAGTCGGTAAAAATTCAAATGACCGTTATCCGTAAGGAATCAATGAAATCGACCAAGTTTATTTTCTATAATTAAACATCATTAACAGAACTAGGTATGTACAAGTTCAGAACAAATTATCTCTTTAAAAAAATTTCCACAGATTTTTAAACTTTTACCGAACAGTTCCGCAATTCAAAAACTCGGTAAAACCGTACTGACTCGATTAGTGTGTATGGGAATGAACTGGTTTATCTATTTTACAGTGATTTGACAAGTATTTTTTTAAGTAAAATTACCAAAAGCGGTAGATATTTATTAGTTCTATGTACTTGGCCACGTGAATTCACGATTACTGCTGGTAATTATTGGTAATACATTATTTTATCTCTTCTCCCATACTGAATTTCGACGATGTCTACCAAGGAAATAGTGGCATTTCATAAATTCAATATGGGAACCAGTTAACTACAGCTTTCCCCCGAAGAACGCGTTTCCCACTGAGTTGCACCCACCGCTTTGTCTCGGTGGGTTTTCAACAAAGCGATCTGATTTTCAGCGAGTGTTTAGTTCTCCACTGACCCTACTTACATGCAAAAAATCAGACCGACTGGTTAAAACCCCGCCGAGAAAAAGCGGAGGGTGCAACTCAGTTGGTAATATTACAGTGTTCACTTGGCTGTCGACAGAAGCAGGCAACTCTCGATGTGTGTCACGCGATCGTCTGTTGACTCGGCCACCAACCATTGTGTGGTCCTCCTTATTGTTTTTCATCAGCAGTTCTTTCGGTCGACTTTGGAAAGCAACCGTTTCGTGATGAGTAAATATGTGAGTGCTGACCACGTGTTGCGTCCATTGCTACAATGGAAGCGCTCTGCGTTGGCGATACTGTCATACAATGAAACCAGTGGAAGCGGCTAGCGTGCTGATGGAGAAGGCTTACTGGCTAGCGGAAGATAAAGTGTTTATTGTATTGTACAGTTTTGACTATATTTTTAAAATGAAATTTACAGTGAACAAGAATCCTTGGCTCTGTAAAGTTAATTCGATTAAACCTAATGAAACAAATTAATAAACAAAATCAAGAAATTGGGGTGAAATCTTGGCTTCGGCAATACCTTAACCTATTATCGTCAGAGGGGTAAACAACGTCCTTGAGAGCTCAATGTTGGTATGAGGATACATTGTGTTTCAGAGCATCTATTTGCCAAATTTGAGTGCTCTAGGACTTTTAAAACCCCTGACGATAATACATTAAGGTATTTCCGAAGCCGAAATTTCCCCTAGCTGATATTAGTTTAGATTAGATTAGAGTTTAGAAACATTGTCATTTGAAGCCAAAACAAAAATATTTACGGCGATTTGAGCATTTTCTCGACCTTTGTTCGATTGGAACGGCTGTTGACAGTTCGATTGGAATTTCGTGGTGACTGTCGTCGATACTATAACTGAAGGGGTTTACCCAGTTCTATTTTGGGCAGATTTGCAGTCAGAGCGCTACCCGCGCTTGGTAGAAATCAAATGCAGTGCTAAAAGGTGCCCAAAGAGATGAATCTTCTGAACTATCTGAAAGCCCCCAGCTAATAGTGTTTTGTTGGCAAAATTCCATCTACAGAACCACTTTTAGGCAGTGAATTCAGTCACGACCCGAACAGGAACCGATAACTACCCGATAACATATGAATATCTTAATGTGGTATCATACCTTATTTTGGTATGCTTGTGGTATAAAATCTTGTTTTGATATTATTCAGTCATCGAAATATTTTGTTAAAGATCAAATAAATATCAAAATAACAAAATGTGATCCCTCAGTTTTTAGACAATAACACATCAAAGAGTATGGTTCTAAATGGTATAAGAAGACCTTTCAAATAGCAAGTTATGGTATTCTGGCATAAAAAAGGCGTCTGTTATCCGTCAGTTATTATAATAACTAAATTAATTTTTAGTTCGTTATTCGTAGATCATTTTTGAGGTATTATTTTTGGTATTTTACCTCTTGTCAGCCTTGTCAATACCACATTTAGGTTGCCAGTTATGCTATTTTCATATCTTTATTTGGCTCCATATGGTATTTTCTCCTGCTCAGAGAGTGACCCAAGAGTGTTAAAGTGACTATGAAAAAGAAAACTCAATTATGCATCTATTGTAGGCATTTAAAGGCCAAATACAAAAAAAAAACTATAACTTTTTCATGCCATTTACCATCTCTGGACATAACCAACTGAACCATAATAAAGAGGAAATAAGCTTTCCAAAAAGATAAAAACATAAGAAATCCTTATGAAACCTGACGAAATCCGTTTAAAATTACCAATGTTATTACAAAAATAGTAATGAATGTGATTTTGGTTTGGTGCTCCAAAAGTTAAAATCTTCGACGAAGTTGGTCAAGGTCTTTTGAATTTTCGCACAACATGGGAAGAGTGTCCATGAGTACTTTCATTATGCTGACATTTATCAGATACTTTAGGATATATTCAAAAAAAAATCATCATAATAAAAGTACACATGGACACTAGCGCCATTTAGTGAGAAAATGCAAAATATATGGATAATTACTGAACAAGGGCGCCATGTAGAGGCCAGAAATCGATGGTTGATGTCATTTTGCAATAAAAACATTCTTCTTCCAGGCAGTGATGTAAAGTATCAATTTGAATACCAACAAAATGATGAATTTCACTAGTCCTACTAGATGTAAGCATCAGTTCACTTAGTGTCAATATCAACCTCAATTTGAGTGCACAACTAAATTTGAAATTGTAACGCAGCATGCCGAAATGCATAGCTCTGTAGCAAATATTTCTAACTGGTTGCTGATCTTTATAAAGCTCATCGTTATTTAAAAGACAAATTCTTTACTCTCCACATTATTGGTCAGTGTTCACTCGGCTGTCAACAG